GATTTTTTATTAGACTTCTACGTTTTTTAAGCACTACACACCGAAGAACCAGGTGGGCAAAGTGCATGACCTGTGTGGTGCTTAACAGCCTTATTGAAATGCATTGAAATACCCTGGTGGGGGGAATTGCTCAATCTGTCTCTCCATGGTAGCAACAATAAATTGCCTGCATTATTTTCAAGTTGCAGCACTGAAGTAAAGGATATACAATTTTTAAAAAGGCAGAAAAAATAGTAATAAAGAAAGAAAACAAAGAGGTTTTACAGTAGCTGGATAATTTCCATGAAAACTTATTATTAGTATTTTCTGAAAGTGTTTGGTGGCTGCTGTTTAGTAGAAAATGGAATCTCTGGGTATCTTAAACATCAAATCTCTTTCACTCAAGTACTTCAATATGAGCATCAGGATTCAGCCTTAAATTAGCTTCACTTTGGCTTGGCAGCCTTTGGAATTAAGCAACATCTGTGGAGCTCAGTGGGAACAGGGAGAGCTCTCAAAGCAGAACTCAGTAATCACTCTGAGACCCTGAAGTCTTATTGTCCTTCCTGCTGAATTTGACAGCAATTATCATATGTAGGACAGTAAAAAAGGCCTTTTTCTCAGCTTTCTTAACAATATCTCTCCAAAGACAAAAGGGCCAAATACTACAGTAAAGATGATCACAAAATGTCCATCAAAATTGTGTTCAGCTGAGCTTTTCCTTTGATGACAATGCTGCAAACAAATGCCACATCTACCCACATCATTCAACTCCCTCCTCCCCAAAATAAATCTTGCTATTTGTTCCCATAGCTGAATGGGGAATAAAAAAAAAAAAGAAAAGAAAGAAGAAGTTAATTTTTTAATATTTTGGTTTCTATGCCTTTGTTTTAAACAGCTCAGCCAACAGGACTAAACCACGGAGGTTTTCATTTGGCTGTTTAAATAGAGCTTTTGGGTGCCTACAGGAAGCTCCAAAACAGGAATGTATGTTTTTATGCAGTAATTAGTGATTGTTTAATATACCAACTGGGAAGGCAAAGCACAGCATAAACACGTAATTGTTACCAGGCAGGGAGAAGTAAAGCATTAGGAGATAGCATAAATAGTCAAACGTGACCTCCAAAGGTCAAAAGAGAACTAAACAATTTTGTCACAGCACTTGCTTATTTAAGTCAATGCAAGTCCAATTTCCTCTCTGCTGCCTTGCCTGGTATTTTATACTGTCCAGTATTATTCCTATTTTCCAGGGACACAGGATCAGTTGTCCTGAGTACATTTACAAGTTGTGTGTGACTGTTTAGAAGAATTTTGTGAGTCAAAGATGAGTATTTTAAACACCACGCCACTCAAAGCACTGAGCTGAAAATGTCCATGTTATATTAATTTCTAGCAATGATTTACTGAGGTCAATGACAATAAAAATGCAAGTCAGCTACAGAGGCATTTTGTAACCTCGATTTTTTTAACCCACTTCATGCCACCATGTACAAGATTACCCTGGCACTGACTAGCAATAAAATTTAAAATTTAATCTCTGAAACAAACGATTTTCACTGAATTCATTCATGTTTTGCCCCCCTCCACTCCCTCCTGAGAAAGAATCCCCTTTCTATTGCAATGCAAGGCTAGGATTTCACTGTGGGGGAGTAGACCCTATGCATGAACCACATGGAAGACAGGATTACTTGGTTACACTTTAAAACATGTTCATTTTTAGACCCTGCTCTTCATAACAAATAAGGCATTTTATCCTCATATTCTTCTCCTTTTTTTTTCCTTTTTATCCTTTTCTTTTTTCTTTTTTTTTTAAAAGTTTCCTCAGAGTGATTATAAAAATCACTTAAATCCTGAAGGGGAACTATGCCTCAGTGACAAAACAAATTTGCCACAAATCATTTTACAAAAGAACAGCAGGACTTTAGACCAAACTCGGGAACTGTTCCTATTCATCATTCATTTGTTTTGGAAACTCCACCCTCCTCCTGCCATGTTCAATATCTAATTGGCATTCTGACACTTCAGATAACTAAACATCTGCTGCATGGATGCTTCTTAGAAGTCTTTTGTTCTTTAAGTTGGAGTTCAAGGGATACAACTCACCGATACACTACATTCGTGCCATTGTTAGGGCAACTTCTCTTCCTGAATGGAGAGAAAACAGTCAAATAAAAGCATTTTGCACAAATACTTCCCCCCCACTCCTCCTGATCAGCTTCCTAAGGGGCTGGTGTATTAAAATTCAGATGTCAGAGTTCTGCTGCTTCTTTAGGAAGTGGGGTCTGTCTTTGCAACCCTCCTGTTAAGAGCTGTTGACAAAAGGTTAATTTCTGTTGCAGTGACAAGTTTCATCACCAAACAGAGCTGGATACAGACTTCATTTGCTATTTTTAATTAATATAGTAGTTCAATGAATGTAAATGAACAAGGTGGGTATCCAGCACCCAGTGCTGCTGCCAGACCTTGGGAGTTCCTGTTTTGAAGGCAGTTTGGAACACTTAGGTCAAAAGATGTCCAAGACCTGTGAAGAAAAATTTGCTGGATCAGGAAATAAATCACAGGTGAAATTTTGTGAGCAAGATTTGTTTCTGCTGCAAGGTGCTCCTCAGCCTAAAGGCTCAGTTATCTGATTCATCCAGCCAATATTGTGAATGTATTATCTGTATTTTAGTAGCTTGCAGAATTTTCAGGGCAGCCTCTGTGAGCTGGGCCCTGAGGAAAAAGCCAAGACAGGGAGAACTGAGAGAGGAGGAAGGCACAAGTTGGTGCCTAAACTGTGATGAGTCTTGGTAAAACCAGGCCTAAACCCCACAGGCTCCTCCTGCTCCACCATCAGATGTTTCACAAAGTTGTTCCCACTTAATTGCAGCTGGATCTGACTCACCCATCAGACATTCCCCTATTCACAAGCCTGAAAGAACCGGGCAAGAAGAACCCAAGGCCAAAGAGGTGCAGTCATCAGGCAGTGGAAATGGATGGGCTCCACAGACTCTGCCAGGCTGAGCAGCTGCCCAGATGTGCAACTTTCCCCTGCCTGCCCAGATTTCCAAACCTTGCTTGATGCATTTTTTTTCCATTTTTTTTTTTCCCTTCTGGGAAATCTAACCCTCTCTGAAATCAAGCTGCTGCAAACTCTGTGAGGCAGTTTACAGATAATGCCCCTAAAAACCCACTGTGCCCACGCTGCTGCATGAAAAAGACTGCTGAATACACTGCATAGGAAACAACTCACGTCATTGTTCTTCTGCACACACAATCACTCAAATGATGCATGTAAATAAGAGATTTTATAGGCACATTCACTTTGCAAATCCTTCCCATCTATTCCAAAAGAGCCACATTGTAAACATTAACAGGCTGATCGTAAGCCTGAATTTAGCAGAAAGGCTTCCAGTAACACATGAGTGGGACTGAATTAGCCAGACTTCTGTATTCCAGATCCCTCACTGCCTACCAGCCTCACACCCTGGGCCTGCCAAGCGTTCAGTGTGCTCAAAATCGCTTCTGTAACATCTAAACACACTGCACAAGGAGCAGAGGAAGGGGATGAAATTGTGCTATTTGTCCAGATAGAGAAAGAAAAAAATATCATAGCTACTTATTCAAATTAATGTGTCTGCAGGAACTGACAGAATGCTTAGTTCACAAAAATGTATTTGATACTTCCCTGTGCTATTTTTGAGGGAAGACTGGGTGGTTATAAAGAGCCAGATGAGACAGGTGAAAGTGGAATAGCCACTTCTACCTCCAGATTACTACAGCCAAAAGTGATCTTGCCCCTTGACAAAAGTTGATTTAATTCACTGTGGATGAACCCAGACTGGCAGGATGGAATTTGCATATGGATTTGGGAAATCTGGATTAAATTCCTTGTTTTCCTAAGCAAAATCTCTGTTGATCTTGGCCAAGTATTTCAGCCATTGGATTTTCAATTCATATCATTTGGTGCTGCTGGATGCAAAGAAAGCTTGTACCAGAGCATGAAACAGCAAATCCATCCCATTTCCCTTCGTGTTCCCAGGGGATCTCCTAGTACACGGCTAGGATAATTAATTTCTCCAAGTAATTTTAGAGAAGCCATCTAGCTGGAAGAGCTCTAGGCCAGGAGTGCTGGGAGCTGTGTGTGCCATGGCTGCAGTGCTCAGCCTGGCGTGTCCCAGGACAAAACCAGGCTGCAGTGCTCCCAAATCACTGGCATGGCTCCCACACGTGTATTCTGAAAATTGTTGGCCCAAAGCACCACTGGAAGTGCTTTTCCTGTTGCTCCATTCCCCCTCTCAGGCCTGCCCTCACATCCTCTCTCTGGATCACGTTCTGGATGTGGCTCTTGGGGCCTTCTGTCAGTCTGTCCAACCCACTTTCCCTTTTCTCCCCCCTGCCTTTTTTTCCCCTTGTAAAGAAGGGAGATGAACATCTATGTCAATGAATCCCTGACCTACATAGGCTGACCCTGAGGAGTCAGAGATAATACACGAGAGTAAATGAGGTCAAAAATGGAGAAAAGCCCCCACACGGTGAACTTCCCACCGAGGCTTCCCGCCAATCCCCGGTGAAGCTCCAGCCTCTCCGTGGCCTTTCAGCTTCTTTAGGCAAACTTTTTGGCAAGTTTTATAGCCAGAAAGGGTCACCCCAGGGAAGATAAGGGGAGATTTCCCCGTGCTCTCCCTCCTGCACCCTCGGCAGGGCCGACACGCTCGAGCGGACGTGACAAACTCGGTTCTGCTGAGGACAATGCTCGCCATGGCCCCGCAGCCTGTGGGGAGGGACCCCGCTGTCCTGCCTGGCAATCTCGGCCACCTCAGGGTGCCCAGCCAGGGAAAGCCTGATCCTGGATAAAGATGGATAATCACGGATCTGGAGATCACCACACAGCCTCAACCCGCCCGCCTCAGCTGCTCGAACCTGGCAATGAGGGCCCTGTGCGAGCGCGCTGAAACATTTCATCTGGATCACACAGCCATGGCCAGAAAGCAGGAAAAAACAGCAAAAATTCTTCACAAATGAGGGCTGAGCAGTTTTACCTGTTGCTGGCAAAGCAACGGTGTCAGAATCACAGCTATTCACCCATGAGGCAGGCTCCTCTGCTGCTGCTAACACAACATCCAGGTGTTAGGCCTCAACCCCACTTCAACTATTGTTTATTGCCATTGCATGGATTAATCCCTGCTGTCAGTCCAGCCTGCGAGATGCTCTCAGAAAGAAAGGTCTGCATAGCATCACGAGTGTCAGATCCTGCTTTGATACACTTTATCTTCCCTTATCCCTTCAAACTCACCATGACTACTCTGCCTGACATGCTAAAAATGCTTTAGAATTGGTGCATATAGGCTAAACTCTGGTTTCAGGGGAAAAAAACCTGCCCACCCCCACTTTTCTTTTTTTTCCCCCCCTTTTTTGACAGAAATCATTGTTGATCTGATAAGAAGTTTGTGGAGTATCCAGTTACAAACTGAGAATCCCCAGAGTCGGTGATTCATTAGTAGTTATCCTGGTGTTACAGGAAGTAAACAGCTTTTAGATGTGCATTTTGCATCTAATTATGTCACAGTCCACTGGCCTTCTCAAAGGTGTGTTGTTTTTCAGGGTAATACATTAAAGATAACAGATTTTACAACAACAGCTGGGAAAAACAAAAATAGATAAGTCATGGAAGCTTTGTGAAAGAAGCAGAGATCTTTGCTACACAGAGGAGACAACTGGGTGTCATTTGGAAGGATGTGAAACTTTATCCAGCAAAAAGGGGGCTGGCAAAGCAACTCTATTTCTGTGCTCATATTCACCTTCCAGAAAGATCCTGAATCTATTTGCTTTTGTACTTCATCACTAAATGATTAATTGTAGTGGCTTTGTCCTGTTCTCAGATTTACCAAAGCAAACTATTCTGGGTTTACATGGCAGCAGGAGGGGACAGAGCTGAGCCCACTGGGACTTCTCCCACAGGAAGTTTTAGTTCTCTCTGGGGGTCAGATCTGAATTGCTGTGTATCCAGCACTAATGCCTTTTATGTAATGTGAATTATCTCTCGTTTTGCCTGAGTTTTTAGGCACTCAGCAGCAGGCTGGATGCCAGAGCACTGCTCCCACTGCTCCCAGGCTTTTCCTGTTGCCCGTTCCCCAGCCCAGCTGGCCACGATTGTCCCTGACCCCCTCCAACACAGGAGTGGCACTGGGGCTGGCACGACCCTGCCTGTGATGGGTGCTGGGACTGGCCCAGAGCGGGGCTGATGGCACAGACTGGCACAGGGCAGGGCACAGCTGGGGCACACTGAGCGTGGGTCACTGAATCCCAGAGCCAGAAGGAGAAGCCAAGGAGAACAGGCCATGGGCCAGTGGGATGGGAGAAATGCTCCTGCAGGCACAGCCTGCCCTGCCCTGGCACCATCAGCACTTCCAGGATCTTATTTTCAGAGATGCTAAAAAGAGGAGGACAGCCCAGTTTGGACACAAACAACGACATTCCTTTGAACGCTGTCCAGGATGTGTTTAAGTAGGGGATGACTGATCTCATTAGTCTGCTAAATCCCAGACTCAGGGGTGCAGGGAGCAGCATTCTTAAAAAGCAAGCAGTCTTATTGAGTTCTGTTATTAACATGAAATTAAATTAATAGTCTAAATTACATGAAGAGAAATCATAATCTGATAGGGAATAAAATTCAGAGGCTTCATTAAGGCATTTTCCCTGTGTCATACCTCCTAAAATTCTGTTACCCATGTGCCAGGAAATTGTTCAGAGATTTTAAAGCACTCATGCATCCCTTTTCAATTTGGGAGACTTCTGGTCTGTCATTTTGCCCTGTTTTGGTTTGCTCTGCCCAGAGCTGTCAGACTGCCTGCCTGCTCTTCCCAGCCATCTCCAACCTTCTCTCCAAGAGCACCAGCAGGAAATGTGTCCCTCTGGCCTCCCTGGAGCTCTTTGTCCTCCTGCCCAGCACAGCACTGCCCACTCCAGCTCTTCCCACCTTGGGCAGCAGCTCTGAACACCGGAGTGCCCCAGCCCCTCCCTTCTCAGAAGGGAAATGGAGATTTCCTTCCTCATCCTGGCAGGGCACTACCAAGATCTTCCTGCTGGGTGTGAAATAGCTCAGATCTGCTGGTGGAGAGCTACAGAAAGCCACGTTCCTCCACCCCTGCAGCTGGACCCGGGTATTGCACGCAAGACCTGAATTTAAGGAATTTTATTTTATTTTCACTTGTTAAAAGCAGCGTTTCAGTAACACAAACTAAACTAATCTGCTCGAACTCCTAACTAAACCAATGGTTGTGTTTCTAGGAAACATTCAAATGAATGCATTGGAGGGCACATTTAAAAAGAAATGCAAAAGTCCTGCTGGCAATGACAAAACAAAGTTTGAGCTGAGAATGGAAATTGGATGGGTTATAAAAAACTGATGGCAAAACCTCAATTGATTCAGTTCCACTGTTAATCTATTATATTCTTCCAGCGGAATTAGTTTTGCTTGAAAAGGACTATATGAAATCATAACCTTCATTAACTTTGAGTGATTCATTTTTTTTTTGTAACCAGATGTTTAGTTACAGCTGATAAAGCATGAAAACCTGCATTCCTCACAGCTTGTTGTGCATGGGTGTGTTGGGTAATGATGACAAATATTAAGGTACAACATTGCTCTTAGCTGACATGGCAGTGACTGATCTGCTTATCAGATTCAGCTGGAGACTGGAATGCCAAAAGAAGGGCAAATATGAATGTATCTGATAGGAGCCTAATGGCTCCTGAGAGTATTTATAGCTCAGAACAGGCTGGAAAAAAAATGAAATGCAAATAGATCTGAAGAGAACCCAGACTGCCATTCCGTGGAGTAAAGAAGGCACTGTGTGGTTTTTGAGATGTAATTGTTGTCCAGAGTGGAGGTGAAGGTAAAAAGAAACTACAGTTGTTCATTGCTTTGCACTGAGTGCCACATCCAGCCCTTCCTTGGACACCTCCAGGGATGGGGACGCCAAATCTCCCTGGGCAGCCCCTGCCAATACCTCAAAAGCAGGAGCCAGAGCACTGGGATCAGAATTTCTCTGAATAGCAACTCCTCAGTCTCTAACAAATGGAAAATGTAACTCAATCTTTAAGAAATCAATGAAAACGTAGAAGGAAACTTCAAGGCTTGTCTTAACTGAACTTTTTCTAAACAGATTAATCATTTCCAGAAATAGAAAATGTCAGTCAGATCATCTTGTCTGACACAAGGTCAGCTCTCTGCAAGTCAGGCCAGTGGCATGTCAGATGTGCAGATAAAAGCAGGGCTCTGCATTATGTGAGCCCAAGGTGCAGTTACCTGGGAAAGGGTTTCATTTCCCTTCCTCCTGCTCATTCCAGGGCTCTGCCCAGCCCTCTAGGACCAGACTGAGGGACACAATTTAAACATTGCTCTTTTTAATGTGCCTGTTTTAATGAGTAGTGCTAAAATTCGGGGCAAACAAGCAGCAGTGCCAGACTGAGCACACAGCAGGCTGACAAATGGATCTACCTGGAACAACTGGAGAAGTTCCTTATTTGTTTGCTCCCACCTCTCAGCCGGTTATCACCAAGGCAGAGTCAGAATGACACATGGGCAGGCAGGGAGCTGCAGCAGCCAGAGCTGCAAGGATCTGTCAGTCAGCACTCCCTGTCCTGACAAACTGCAGCTCTGACAGCCCCGGCCTGCCCTGCTCTTCTCAGGGAATTATTTCTGCCACAGTGGTGCAGTGGTTTGGGCACTGCATACAGCAGCACCCAGCACAGCACCACTAACTCCAGCTGGGCTAAAAATTGGTGCAAAAGCGACTATTTTAGTGCTTCTTAAGTAATGAGATATGGATAAGCTTTACATGAAATGTGGAGCATTTCTAGCAGGACCACTGACTACCCACTCCCCAAGTATTCAGGTACAACTCATCCCTGTGCCTTTAGGCTCTGGGTACTGCAGATAAAGATATGAAACACAGCTCAGAAACGAGGACATGTAAATAAACATTATTGTTTTCCTTCATAAGAAATGGAAAGTGGATTTTGAGATAAAACCCCATAGCCTCTCCATACTTAATAATGAAGCTTCAAATAACTTGCATTCTGCTAATGCAGATTGATGCCTGGCTGTCAATTAGAACATAAAGGAATTTAAGGCTGCATTTTCTGGAATACTGGCTGTGAAGAACACAAAACTGGGGCCTGAGTGGGAAGTGCTCTGAAGGTTTTATTCTGATACTTATTATTCTTTTAGTTCTGTTAATAACTTTATACCTTTTAAGTTTTGAGCCTGCTTTGCCCTACTCCTAATTCATATCTCACAGCAGCGAGTAAATAATTCTAGTAGTTGCACTGGTGATTTTAGCCAGCCCTGAAGCCACCCCAATAAGTTCAAGTATGGTAAGGAGACACTGCAGAGGCCAAAGATGCAGATGCAGGGAAGAGCTGAGGCCAGGCTGTGTTAGCAGGGACTGACTGCTGTGAAAGCAGCGCCTCGCTGCAGAGCTTGGCTGCAAATCCCAGCTGCAGCCACAGCCTGGCAGCAGGATCAGCAGCAGCACATCCAGCCTCATGTGCAGCCCCAGAGCCAGGCCAGCATCCCCACAGTGAAAGGTTTGTCCTGCCTGAGACACCAGCTGTGCTCTGCAGGGCTCAGGGGCAGCACTGCCCTGCCCAGAGCCTGTGAGGCCAGCACCAGCTATCCCAGCATCGGCCAAAAGCGACACTGCAACCAGCCAGGCCTGAAAAATAATGGCAATTGTCAACAGTTAATAAAACTGCTTTAAGAGGTGGATTGATCTCTTTTCAAAGGCAATCTTGCACCTGCAGAAACTTGTCCCTAGCAGTGTGTGTCACTGAGCTGTGCCAGTGGCACTGCAGTGGGATCAGCTGTTGGCACCTACAGAGTGGAAATGCAGCTGCCTCGAGGGCAGGTGAGCCCACAGCTCCTGCTTGCTTCTGTTTCTTGTTCTCTGCACCTCAGAATAGGACATTAGAAAATAAAGTTGGTTGCCGTGGTAAGTTCTCTGCTTAATAAAAATAATGTAAATGTTTGCTAGAGCAGAGCCTCATTCACCTCCCCAGCACAGTGCCCTAACCCTGAGTTAGGAAAATTACACATTCTTGTGCTCTCATTACAACTCCGTTTTCAACTCTCGTTATTGCATGGGAAGT